TTTTTTTTATTTTAAATATTTTTACTTTGTCATCTTGGACAGCTTTTATCTTTGAAAATGATGAGTTTGCATTTATTTATGGAGCTAAGCAAAATATGTAGAATAATATTATAATATATAATAATTTACTTATAATCTTCCTTAATGTTAAAATAAATATTATAAAGTGTGCTTTTTCTATGTTCATTTTAAATACAAATTTACATTAAAGTTTAAATGTTAATATATTTAATTAATGCTTTTCCATTTTAAATTTCTCAGTATACTAATTAAGTGACAAAACTTTAGATAGAGGACTCTCATTGATGCAGCGCTGGGGGACTTTTGAAAAGTGTCTTTCTGTTGTTTGACTCAAGAAGCATTCTAACGGGATGAAATCATTCTGGGCTCTTTCAGTTCCTACAATAGGAATCACACTTCATAAACTCTGGTGGCCTGTTAGTTTATTCTACATTAGTTATAAGGCATTTACCTACATTGCTATTTTCATGTATAAATAAACAATTTAAAATTAACTTTATAATTGTATATAAGATCAGAATGCTTTATTTACAGTAAGACTGGATTTGATTGCTCAATTTGATCAAACAAAGCATGATTATAAAATTAATACAATCATGTTCCTTTCCAACTGTTTAAAAAATGCTTATATTTAGTATTTCTTTTATTTTACTTTGCCATGATACATTTAAATTACTTGACCTTATACTCTTTTGATGTGCACATTACAGTAAAATTTGTAAGTATACATTATTCAGGAGATACATTGTGGTGAAATTTCAAAGAAATATACTCAGAAATTCAAAGTAAATTGCATGCATATTATATACATAAAAAGATCACACTTGTGTTATTTAAGATTTAACTATTTTATCTTCAACTTACACTATTACAGATTTAAAGATATAACAGCTTCACAAGTAATGGTATTCATTGTCTATTTGAAAAAAAATTCAGACACATAAAACTAGTGAAGTCTCATAGAGAGAGTACTTCTCTCTCTCTCTCTCTCTCTCTCTCTCTCTCTCTCTCTCTCTCTCTCTCTCTGTGTGTGTGTGTGTGTGTGTGTGTGTGTGTGTGTGATTTCTGTCAGTTTAACAAAGAGTACTAACACCATGATCTGGTGGAACACACCTTTAATTTCAGTACTTATGAGGCAGAGATAGGCAGATCTCTCTGTTTGGTGTAAATCTGGTCTACAGAGTGAATTCCAGGACAGCCAGGACTGTTAAACAGAGAAACCTGTCTTAAACAAACAGAGAGGGAAAAGTGTAAGAGAGAGAAAGGGAAGGAGAGAGAGAGAGAGAGAGAGAGAGAGAGAGAGAGAGAGAGAGAGAGAGAGAGAGAGAGAGAGAGAATGAGAGAATGTCTATTTACACATCTATGCTGGCACCATGCACAGGAAAGAGACAAACTCTCCATTCACTGTCAAGTCCACACCCTGCTGCTCTCCCACCGTCATTTCCTGGAGCCAGAGCACCCATCATGCTCACAGGAAGATCTGCACTTCTCTGGCAGTGCTGTAAGTCTGTTGCTTATGTTTCCTAACTGGCACGGTCTAGTTATCTAGTTAGGGTTTTATTGCTGTGAAGAAACACCACAACCAAGGCGACTCATAAACTTCCCACCAGTGAAGGGCCTGAAAGCTGAAGCATGGGTTTCATTCTTTAGGGGAAAGATTCAGGTCTTTCTGTAGATCTTCAAAACGGTATAGGAGCGAAAGATTCACACAGGAAGAGGCTTTTGAGGAGGAAGAAGATGATGGAGATGATCCAGACTGGGGGCCTCTCAGGTGACAGTGACTGGCAATGTTGACCCTAAGCGGCCATTCCATCACCATGGCAGTGGGGTGTTCAAACTACCATCTCTTTCCAGAGCTGATTGGGAATTGTATATCTGTTTTCCAAAAAGCTGTTTTTTTTTTTTTTTAATTTTATATTTTGGCTAGAATTGTATTGTGGTTACACCAGTAAAGACCAAAGATTGGCAGTTACAATCACAAGAACATTTGGATTTGCTAGGCTAGAGTTTTCTAGGCCAGTGATTTGTGTGTGTGTGTGTGTGTGTGTGTGTGTGTGTGTGTGTGTGTGTGTGCGCGCGCGCGGTATGGATAGTGAGTGAAGAATTTTGGGGGCTTTAGAGATGGCACTGGGGACCTCCAGGCCAGGGAGCCAAGAGAGTTGGATATTTCTAAAATGTTCCACTCCTGGGTGCTGCAGCCTAGCTATCTACTCAAACCAGTGTCCTGGGCTTTCCCCTGGGAGAGTGTTAGACCTGTAGCTTCCAGGGACCGTTTACAGGACTCTGATTTGTATGTACAGTAAAGTTGGCAATGCCCTGTTCTAAGCTGGAAGCTGGAGCACTGAGGTGAGATGTGGTCAGCAATTCAGGGAGGGCAGGAGAGGAGGAAAAAGGCTGAAGCATGAGGCAAGCCTGCAAGGCCCGAAGCTGCCTTGGTTAGGACTTCTCCCACCTGGCCACAGCCTGCTGTGGCCTCCCACCCCTTCCTTGCCACAGACAGATCCCTTCTTTGCTCTGTGGTTTCCAAGACATTCTTGTTAGGAAAGCTAAGGCAAAATGGAGGGACACTTGGCCCTCTTTCCCACTTCCGCTAAGGAAGCTTACTCGCTGAGTCGGATCAGGGAGGGCACCTTGGGCAAGTCTTTCCTGGCAGTGACTGCCTCTTAGCACGGGGAGGCTAGGTGCTCTGAAGGAAAAGTCCGTACAGAGACTTTCCTATGGGCTGCGAGGTCCCCAGCTTCCCAGGGACAGCCAGCCTCTCAGGTCTGCCTTGCTCGCATCACCATGTGCCAGGGCCTTCTGGTTCAGGAGGGCTGGAGGAGGTCTGGGCCAGAGTGAGTGGCAGGAGCTGAGTGGAGGGACTCTACAGTGCTCTCTCCTCCGTGGTGATTCTGCGCAGGTTTTCCCGGACTTTGATGAACTCAGGGGCGTGGTCCTCTTCTCTCTGTGGTGGGTTTTCCAGCTGGAGGAGAGAGACACACGGGTGAATTTGGAAGGGCTGGGGCTGGGGGCTCCTATTTTCAAAAGCCATGGTGTTGGACCAAAGGTCCTGTAAATGGGGAAGCAGAAGTACTCCGGGGTGAGTTTTACAAACCATCCCAAAGTGGTGGTGGTAGGGGTGGTGGTGGTGTATCAGGACGCTTGAGATCATCACGATTAACATGGAAAAAAAAAAACCTACCCTCACTTCAGAAAACATTGTCAAAACAGTACTCATGAGGAAATTCCACCATTTCTGAATATGGACAGGGGGTGGGGTGATGTGTAAATGACCTCTCAAGGGTCAGGCTGTTTGCAGCCTGGGGTTTGGAACCCTGGACCTGTTCCAGCTCTCTAGCCCACGTCCATTCCTGAGTGCTTTCCTCTTCCTTAATGAACTTCATCTCTGCTACTATCCATGTCCTGGGCCAACTCTTCCAGGACACAAGAACCTAGAAATCTCAGTGTCCCACACAGGGACAGAACAAGAGACCGGGTTCTCCTTGGGAAGCCTGGTTCAAATAGTTTATTCCTCTGGCCTCGATCCCAGAGGAATGGAATGGCGTCTACTCTCAGGGCAGATGATCATCAGATCTAACTTGCGGAAACGGACCTTAGAGGAAAGCAGGACCAGAGAAGTGAAGCCACTGTACTAGACTCACACAGCAGGCCAGAGGAAGATTCCTGGCACCATGACGACTTTCCCCTTGGGCCGAGCTGGTACCTCCTACCCACCTGGTTGAGTCTCTGCTGCCTTCTCAGCAGCTCCTGCTTGAAGGGGCACTGAAGCCGCTTGGCTTCCAGCTCCTCCTCCTTCTTCTTGATCAGCTGATTCCGGCGACGGTGCTCCAGGACCCGCTGCAGCTCAGGCTTGCTGTCCACACCCAGGCCCCTGGGGGTGGGGGTGGGGCGGGGAGCGATCAGGAGATTCCCCTTTCCACCTTCCCAGTCTGGGCCTGCAGTTTGCGGTGACGCCAACCCACGATTATCTCCTACACTGCTTGGGCAACCCTGGAGGGGGTGTCCTCACTGACCCCTGCCATAGAGAAAGGCAAAGGGCGGCAAAGGGCCGCCCTCTAGAACAGCAAGGCAGGTGGCGGCTACAACAGGAAAATTTCAGTTCAGGTCACAGAGACCAGGTGACATGTGGTTGCTGTATATTTTACCAGGGCTTCTGAGGATGGAAATGCTGGGCTGGGCTCTCTCGAAATCTCCTGGGAGTTAATTTCCTTACAAGGATATCTATTTACCCCATTCTCCAAGTCAAACAATTTTTTTTTTTAAAGTCTAGGAGACAAGAAACAATGTCTGGTTTTCATATTTCCTTGATTATCAGTCACATGCAACGGCCCTTAAAATGTTTCTAGCATTTGCATTTCTCCTCTTGCAAATTAATTCTTCTTATTTTGTTTATTTCCTTGTAGACTAAGGTACATGAGTATCTCAATATTTTATACTGTATATGTAATTTTCAATATAATTTACTTATATTGCAAATATTTCAATTTGATTGAAGCTGTTTTTTCATTGTGGTGGCATTTTTGATACTCTAATATAATGAATACTATAAAAAAAAAACCAAGAACATGATAGTGTTACAGCATTAAGTGAAAACAAACCCACAAACAGCCCAGAGTATAAGGGTTATCTGTTGGTCTCAGAAAGGAAATCACAACCAGCTCTAATACAACTGGCCAGCAGAGGGCGCCACGAAGGCGGCACCACCACCTTCAGCCTGGGCCATATGGTCAGGATCTTCATAGTGGCTCCTCGGCCACCGTCTACTACACTGGACATCCTATGAATGCTGATTGCAGATGTGGCATTCCCCAGATTCTCCCTTGGCTCTGTTTCACTGCCATCCTTTCAACCAATAGGGGACATGACTGTGAAAGGGCCAGCACTGCCCGCTACCTCAGGAACATCTGTGTGCTCTCTCGTTCTCTCTGCTGACACAGTCCATCTCCTATCCCGCTTTAGGCCTTCCAGGTATCATCTCTTTCATGAAGTCATTTAGACAGCCCCACACGCCCAGTACCTCTTCTGGGGTCCCATACTCCTCTAAAGCCTCCATCAAGGCACATACTCTCCTGCCTGATATTCATTTTCCTCTGAGAGGAAAGGAACTGGGCTTCCTTTTTTTGTGTCCTAGGTGTGGGCATAGTGCCCTGCATGCAATAGGTGTTTAGTAAATGTCTATCTGTGGCATTCAACATGCAATGAGTGCCTGGGAGGGATGGGGCTTTTGCGTTCTCACAGTTTCTTCTGGTGACCCTGTGGGGTTCCAAACAATGGCCCCACCAACCTCCCTAGGGACATTTCTCTAAGCACAGCAGGCCTGCACAGGATATTGCTGGGCTGGGCAGATGAGTGCCATCCTACCTTCTGTGGTTCATGAGCAGCTCCCGGTGTAGCTCCTGGTGGCTTCGGGAGGCCTTCACAGGGTTCAGCAGCTTCTTGGGTTTGATGAGCTCTGGAGTCCACTCTCTATACTCTGGCCGAGCCATGAGTCCCCCAATGTCTGCCCTCTCCCTCTGGATCTCCGAGTACATTGAGGCTGTAGTGATGGGTAGTGAAGTTACTTCAAGGATGTCCACAGTCCTACCCACTCCTTGGGGCACAGCTTAGTGGGGGGTCTTTTATATGGATCTTGGCTTCTGAGCGACTTGGGTAAGCTATTTGACCATCTGAATCTTGCTTTCTGCCTCCCTGTTGTGGGAAACAGTCATTACACCTAGGTTAAAAGTTGTGACTACTGGAGATGATGTTTGTAAAGTACATGAGTTACAGAAGTGAAATGACACCAAGATTCAAAATACGGGCTGTCATAGGACTGGGGAGATGGTTCATTCTGAAAGTGTTTGCCATGCAAGCATAAGGACCTGAGTTAGATTCCCAGCACTCACAGCTTGGCATGATGTTGTGTGCTTGGAATATCAGCACTTGGATCCCTGGAGCTCACTGGCCAGGCTATCTATCCTAATCAGTGAGCTCCATGTTCTAGTGAGAGACCCTGTTTCAGGATACAAGGCAGACAGTGCCTGAGGAATGGCATCTGAGGATGACCTCTGGCCTGCACATGTGTATGCACACATACACACACACACACACACACACACACACACACATCTGCATATGCATACATACCAAAGTGCACATGCGGGGCTGTCACTGGCTGTGCTGGATAGTTGTGTGTTAACCTGACATAAGCTAGAGTTATCTGAGAGCAGGGGACCTCGATTGAGAAAATGTGTCCTCAAGATCGAGTTGTAGCCCGTTTTCTTAATGAATAACTGATGTGGGAGAGTCCAGCCCACTGTGGGCAGTGCCATCCCTGGGCTGGTGGCCCTGGGTGCTATAAGAAAGCAGGCTGAGCAAGCCATAGGGAGCATCCATGGTCTCTGCATCAACTCCTATCTCCAGGTTCCTACCCTGTTTGATTTCCTGTCCTGACTTCCTACAATGATAAACAGTGATGCAGAAGTATCAGGCAAATAAACCCTTTCTTCTCCAAGTTGTTTTAGGTCATGTTTTTATCACAGAAATAGTAACCCTGACTAAGACACTGGCAGAAGAAAAAATATTCCCCAAACAAAAGGGATTATGTTTGAGTTTCTGCTTTTCAACAAGCTTGTACTAGAAAAGGAAAAGATGTAAAGGTGTGTGTGTGTGTGTGTGTGTGTGTGTGTGTGTGTGTGTGTGTGTAGCGGTTGAAGACAATTTAGATAAACGCTATGGTAGAAACAAAAATCCTTCCTTACTCTCCCCCCCCCCCTCCAGTCATAGTTCCCAAGTTGCCAGTAGGGACAAAACTCTCCCCATTTTCCACAGCAGAGAGCAGTGTTGGAAATTCAGGGGCTGCTGTGTCCTTGGGACACAGGGGTGGCTGTCATCCTGTCTGCCAAGCTCCTGTGTGACTGCTCTTGATCCCTCCTTCTACCAGAGTCCCGGAACTTTGTCAGTGTGCTTCAAATTTAGGCAAAAAGGCTTCTTTACCCCAGACAGCTCCTTGTTCTTGAAATGCTTTTGAGAGAGGACAGGAGGGAAGGGGACAGGAGAAGAGGGGAAGGGAAAAGGAGAGGAGAGGGAGGGAGGGGAGAGGGAGGGGAAGGGTGGGAAGGGAAAAGGAGGGGAGAAGAGAGGGAGGGAGGGGAAGGGTGGAAAAGGAAAAGGAGGGGAGAGGAGATGGAGGGAGGGAGGGAAGAGGAGAGGGAGGGAGGAGAGAGTAGGGGTGAGGAGGAAAGGAGAGAGGAGAGGAAGGGAGAGGAGAGAGGGCAGAGAAAAGTTCTTTAAAAAAAGTCAGAAAGAGACAGCTGCTGCCTGGTTGTTAGCGGTTTAGAGTAATTACTGTAAATATTAGGAAAAGTTCTGCACCCCTCAGCCCAGCTTTTGGGAAAGCACCCTCACTCCTTTTCTGAGACAAGTCTTTCTGTGAAGCCTGGCTGTGCTGACCTTGCACCTTCCTGCCTCCACGTCCACAGCACCAACCAGCAAATGTCAGCTGCCTGGCTAGTGGGACTGAGCACTTTCTGGGTAGTGGGCAGAGCCAGTGCCTGGTCTAATGTTCAGTAGGCACTGATAGTGTTTGTTGGTTATTGGTGATAAAATTTTTAAGGTTTTGGTCTTGGGGATCCTTAGCCCTAAGTTGGTTTCCACGTGGTGATGGAGGTCGAATGCTCCTGCCTCTCACACTGAGGTTCTACATCTCTTCTGTCCCAGTCTCTCTCTATCTCTGTCCCTCTCTCAGCTTAGATTTTGGCCTTGAACTTATTATATAGTTGAAGGTAACCTTAAATTTATGGTTCTCCTGCCTCCAACCCCAGCAAAATATTAATCATCTGAAGGTATTCTGGTGGTAGCCAGGTGAGGTGTCAGAGTGTAGAAATATCTGCCTTTTTTTTTAATTGAAAATACTTTTTTCATACAATATATTCTGATCACAGTTTGCCCTCTCTCATCTCCTCCCCATCCACCCAACTCCATGCCTTCTTTCTCTAGGTCTTTTTGGGGGCACGGAGGTCCTTGTACTCATAGGGCAGCACTAAGAGAACCAGGAATGTTAACCACACAGAGGTGTCTTCTCAATGGAGGAAATACAAATCAAATACCTGCATTCCATCCAGAAAGCTGAGAGTGTTTATTAACAACCTGGTGACCTTTTTGCTATCCGTGGAGGCAGGCCTCACCCACCTTTTGCTATCTGTGGAGGCAGACCTCACCCACCTAATTCCCCAGAATGACTTCCATCTGTAGGCTTTTACCTGTCCTTAGAGAGGTGGTCACATGTACTTTATGGCCTGCTGACCTCTATGCTATCGGTCAGAGGCCACACAAGATTCTAGGCCTTTTAGCTATAGAACCCACAGTTGTAAATTGGAGGCAGCTTTTTGATTAAGAATGAGAGCTTGTGTCCACTTCCCCCTCCACATGGGGACCCCATCTAGCTTGGACCTGTGCAGGCCCCCTGCCTTCTGCTTTTTATGAAATTGCCATTCTCAGAAGCATCTTTTTTGAGACAGGGCTTCCCTGTGTCACCCTGGCTGTCCTGGAACTTGCTCTGTAGACCAGGCTGGCCTCAAACTCACAGAGATCCACCTGCCTCTACCTCCTGAGTGCTGGGATTAAAGGCATGTGCCACCACACCTGGCTTGGAAGCATCTCTAAAATGAGAATAATTATTTCCTTTCTCTGTATCTTTCTCATAAGATAATTAAGATAATTTGTTTTTAGCTTATATGCTAATTTTTTGGTTCTTAAGAAAATTATCATAATGCACCCTAGTTATTTATTTGCTTTTGAGATAGGACTTCATGTAGCCAAGGGTGGGCTCAAAATTGTGCTGTAGCCAAGAAAAACCTTGGACTTGTTATCTGCTAGTACAAGCCTGGCCATCATGCTTGGTTTAAGCAGTGCTAGGAATCAAATCCAGACCTTCATGTATGCTAGGCAAGTATCCTACCGTCTGAGCTACATCCCCAGCACCTCTAGTTACTTTAAATGGGAACTTTAGAAAATTACCACCTCTCTCTGTGCCCACCAAGGGGGCATAGTTTTTTAGTTGATGGGCTCATATCTTCTGGTAGCCAATGTACCAGAATGCCTTGGTCCAAATTGGAGCTTTAAGACTCCCTGTTTGAGGGGCTGGAGAGGTGGCTCAGAGGTTAAGAGCACTGGCTGTTCTTCCAGAGGTCCTGAGTTCAATTCCCAGCAACCACATGGTGGCTCACAACCATCTGTAATAAGATCTGGTGCCCTCTTCTGGCCTGCAGGCATACATGCAGTCAGAGCAATGTATACATAATAAATAATAATAAAAGATCTCTGTTTGATATGTACTCTATTACTGAGTTCTCCAATCTCTGTAGTACTTTCCATGTCCCCAGGCCCCAACCTGTCCAGGCTGCCATCACATCACACTTCAATATCTCCCTTGATTCCGTTTCCTCTGACCTCATCCTCTTTGTGTCCCAATCCTCCCAGTGCAGGTACTTCTTATCTTAATCCTTACAGTGCAGACGCCATCTTTTGAAGAACTAACTGTATATTGCCAACATGGTAAGACAGTAAACAGAAATAATTTGCATAACATTTGGAAATTTATGTAACAATAATATTTAAAATATAATATAATATTATAATTATTTAATAATAATATTAAAAAGACATACTTATAGCCAGTGGTGGTCACAAATGCCTTTAATCCCAGCATGTGGGAGGCAGAGGCAGGTGGATGTCTGTGAGTTTGAGGCCAGCCTGGTCTACAAAGTGAGTTCCAAAATAGCCAGAGCTGTTACACAGAGAAACCCTGTCTCAAGAAACAAAACAAAAACAACAAACAAAAAACAAACAAAAAAGACATACCTATATTCCTAGTAAAACAACAGGAGAGAAATTCAGTGTGGTGGGACACAAAGTAAGTACACAGAATTCGAACCTTGCACAACCGAAATGGCCACTGAGGAAGTGTGTGGAAGTGCGTGCCGTGCCTTCTGCAGATGCTTGCACTCTTGTCATTTGCCAGGCGTGTGGTAGCACTAGGTATATGACAGGGAGCTAAGCTCTAAAGATTACCAAGGGGACCAGTTCATCAGCTGGGAGGGCCTCTGTGGAGAGCTGGGGCTCAGCTGCGCACGGAGAGTGGAGGGGAAGCTGCTCCAGGCGGGGAACAGCTGTCTGGCTCCCGCACCTTGAACAAGCTGGGTCTGTTCTGGGAACACAAAGGCACAGTGTGCCCAGAGTGGCAAGATCTGGTGGTGGAGTGTTCGAAATGAGGGGGACAGTTGGCTTCAGGGCCGAGAAAGGGTGAGGCAGATTAGATTTCTAAAAGGTCATGCTGGCTGCTATGGAGGGGAAATGGTCAACAGGCCTTAGGAATTTTTATTTCCTTCACTTTCAGCGTGCTGCTTGGTACTTTCCCATTACATTCCCGAGAAGCCTTGGCTTGGCCTGGCTGTCCACCTTCACCCCCAGGCCACCTCCTCAGTCTTGGCTTCCAGGGTCACTCTGGGAAGACAAGCCTTGTCTGGTTTAACCTTCTGTTGTTACTGTCTTGAAATACTTCATACATGTTGAAGAGTAGCCCTTTATTTTGTCCTGGGCCCTGCAGATGGAGTCACCTCACACACTAGGTCCACCAGTGGCAAGCCCTGGCTTAAGGATCTCTCTGGGCCCTCCACGCTTTTTAAATTAAATCTATGGTGTGTGATGAGGCAGGGATCTCCAAAGGCCAGCTACAACTGGGGAAGCTGCCTTTGCCTCTCTAAGTGCTGAACTCCAGTAGGTGTGTGTGTGTGTGTGTGTGTGTGTGTGTGTGTGTGTGTGTGTGTATGACTGTGAGTGTGTGTGAGTGTGAGTGTGTATATATGTGTGAGAGTGAGTGTATATGTGTGTGAGTGTGTGTATGTGTGTATGTGCATGTGTGAGTGAGTGTGTGTATGACTGTGAGTGTGTGTGTGTGTGGGTGTGTACATGTGTGTACAGAATGAGGAAGGAAGGACTCATGGGAGTCCTTACAGTTTAAGAACTGCAATGTGAACCTTCTAGCCTTTTAATTTGATAAATAAGGCTTCTGTGTGGAAAACCTTGTATAGGTCCTCTCATGGAAGATACTGTTCAATGGAGGCCTTGGAGGTGTGTAGTCATGACCTGCCTCACTACAGGTGGCAGCCCTGGTTGCTGATAGGAGCCCTCTTCTCTTGCTATTTGACAAGGCACTGTATAATTTCAAAGCAGAAGAAAATCTGGATTATCCTGGAGGTCAGAGAGGACACCTTAGGTAGAAATCTGGGGTCACTCCAAAAGCTGCTGGAATTCTGAGCAATCCAACCCCTTTCAGGATGTGGCCATGATGAGGCAAAGAAGTGGGTATCAAACAGGCCAGCTCTGAAAGAAAATGATCTGGCAGGAGAGAGGAAGGGTTGGTGTAGGAGGAGTTAATATACTTAAAGAAGACGCAGAAATATCTGCCATTCACATCTGGAGTTGAACTTGAGCTCTGTCCCCAAATCAATGCAGTTTTCAGTACAAGAATCTGATGATGCTCACAAGGCTCTTGGCAAGTGGCCAGCTCTGTGGCAGCCCTGGAAACCAGCCTCCTGCTGGAGGCTGGTTTCCAGGGCTGCCACAGACAGTAGAGCAGTGTGTGCACTCTCGGGCCTCAACTCCCATAGATAAACCAGGAATCGTGGCCTAGAATCGCAGTGCGGCCACTTCATTAGCTTTGGTCACTGTTAAATACATCCTGTTCCTAGCCCTGGACTGAGGTCTTATTATCTTAAAAAAGGAGATGGTAGTTAAGTCATTAGATCCTAACTTTGGCTGAATGTTGGGGTCCTCAGGGCGCATCAAGTCATACTTCAGGAATTCCAGTTCAGTTGCTTAGTGTTTGAGAGGTTTGAAAACTCCTGGAGGGAGGGAGGGAGGGAGGAGGGAGGCCCTCTTTGCTCTAGCTGGCCGTGGTTGGCCAGTCACTCAAGCAAGTCTGGTTGAGGGCACACTTCTTAGGTCTTTAACCCAGGTGTCCTCCTCCTCTGGAGAATCTTAGTGTTGGAAGACAGAGGAGCTCCAGCTGGGCATGACACTTCTGCAGCCAGAGGTGTCAGCTAAATGAGTGGCATGCCTGTCTCCAAGAGGGCAGATAGTGAGTCTGGCCTCTTGCAGGGGGCAGCGGGGAAAATAGGAGTGCAGAAGAGACTGTGACCTGTGGTTCTCCCCAGATTCTGCTGGTGACCAAAGAGGTCCCATAGCTGCTTCCCAGAGACTGAGCCAGGTTCTGAGTGTGCACAGCTGGGGTGGAATAGTAGCTTTGACACCAGTTTCTGGTCCCTTCCTGGGCAGTGAAGACAGAGACAGAGGAGAATGATACTCTTGCTTCAGGGTCAAGTTCATACTGAAAGTAGCTGTGGGACCTAGGCTGATGCCCAAGGTCTTCCTATCCTCTTTTAAAGCAGGATCTCATTTATCCCAGATTGGCTTCAAACTTGCTATATAGCCAAGAATGACCTTGAACTCCTGATTTTCCTGCTTTTGTCTCCCAAGTACTAAGATTACAGGTGTAGCCACCATGTGCCATTAATGAGGTACCAGTGAGGTACCAGTCTCAGGACTTTGTGAATGGTAGGTAAGTTCTTGACCAACTGAGCTACATCCTTAGCTCTGCCTATGGTTTTAATGTCCCTTCTGTCTGCTTTTTCTCTATCTTCAATGTTCTTACTCTATTTCTTATGCATCAGTAACAACAAATGACACTGGGTCCAGTCAAGTGTCCAGTGGTGAAAGTGAAGGAGACAGATGGTAACATGCAATCCTAGCAGTGTGATGATAGTCATGCTCTCTGATCTGTGACCAGTAGAGATGGTCACATCCACTCTAAGATCATTGGAGCGTGGAATGATATGGTGTGCATAATGTTAAGGTCCACCCAAGGCACACTGTAACCCTCCTGTCCTGCATATTTTGGGGTGAGCATGGGACTTGGTCTGAATCTCATGATTGTCATGAAGGCAACTCATTTTAGAGCTGAAGAAGTCAAGGCCCATTATGCCAAGATACATGTTGGGTAGTTAGCAAAGCCAGGGTCTTTGGACTCCAAACCTAGTACTCTTTCTATCATGACACTGTCTCCCAGAAAAGGTGTGCTTCTGACTCAAAAGAATAGGTTTACTTTACTTTTACCTTTGCTTTCTCTATATGCTCAAGAAACCCTATGGAAGAAGCATCTGAGCCCCTTTGATAGTCGAGAACATGAAGCCCAGGGAACCAGCCTGTGAGAAATGGAAACATTACCCTGTCACTTGAAGCCACAGGCCTGGCAGCCTTCACCTCCTGTTCCTCCAAACCTTCCTGGTCCAGCATCAATAGACCCAGAAGGGAGGCTTTGAGAAGAGCTGGCAAGGGAAGGGGAAACATTCAGAAAAGTGACAAGCTGGCTACCACATGTCCTGCTTGCCCTTTCCTCCCTGCGGGTGCCGTGTTTGTGGCTCACTGACCAGTAACCTAAGAACATATCTGGCAATACCTCCAGGACTCCCTGCAGCCTCAGTCCAACTTTCTTGAAGCTGCCTGTCCATCTGGATGAGAGGACTCCAGACTGGCTTCCTCAACTCTTTGTCTTGGTCCCCTGGAACTTTTTAGGCAATGATAAGGGTTGGGTTTTGAAGAAGAGCTATAATGGGTCCTCTGCAAAGTTAGGGATTATGTCATGCTGTTGAGCAGAAACCAGCTTGAGCAGATCTCCCATACTGTTGCTCATGGGGTCTGATGGCAGCCCATTCCACCTGAGAGCTGCTGGCTCAGGGAAAATCACAGCAGAGGTTACCATCCTTTGAGCTAAGAAAGCTACCAGGATCCAAGCTGCCCAGAAACCTATGTGTGAGGACAGCTTCAAATTTAGAAACCTATAGCAATATCTTAGTGATATACGATCCCCTAAGGCATGATTTCTCTAGTCTCAGACTGGCCTTCTACTGAACGATGCTAAACACAAGTCCATCAGCAAGGTGGGCATCACTGGTAGCCTGCACTCACAGTACAGGCTGAGTGCTGTGCTGTGCATCTAGCCCTGGACCCACTGAACTCTCAATAAAATGAGAAGGTGGGCAACCCTTCTTAGGAGCAAGTCATCAACCTCAGAGGCATCATCTGATTTCTCCATATCACATAGCCAGTGAATAAAGGAGCCAGAATCTGACCTGAGCTCTGGTGCCTAAACCCAAGTTCTGTGTTTGTCTTATTGCATATAGAACCTGAGCTTTTGTCCATCTGTTGATTATTAGGTGACCCCTCTTCGATGACCCTACACACCCCTATTGTGTAATAATGGATCTAGGAGAGACTATAGCAGACATTAAATTTTGCTCAGTATTTAGAAGCAAAAGATCAACCAGGCTGCAGAGTATAACTGAGAGCCCACTCAATCCCTGTCCCCCATTCCCACCTCATATCCCTGTACCATTCACCCCAGTGAGGCAGAGTCCAGGTACCTAAATTCCAAGGGTTCGGTTGCCAGGATAGCTTGCTCTGCTGCTCCCAGGTCTCTCTCCTTCCTTCCACCTTCTCCCAGAATACAGCCTGACAGCAAGTGACAGAATAGACTGGAGTCTCCGAGCAGTGTCTGGGCTGCAAGCTCCTCTGCAGCTCTCAGTCTCAGGGAGCCCTCAGCAGGTCCCAGGGCTGAGGCAGCCTCCCCCAAAGGGCGGGTCTTAAACTGCCTGAGATGGGAGGCAGTTTTGCATTCCTGTTTATTCTGATATCAATAAAAAGGAACTGTTGCTATAGAAACTGTTATTTCACTTGGTGAGTGGCCATGGCCACTCAGAACACCATGTCCAAGCCATCCTGATTGAGAGGCACAAATAAATACCTGTTTTGTCAGATTGATGAGAAATAAGAATCATGCCAAGCTTTGTTCTGAACAAGCCTGTTTCTAGCTGCTGTGGAGGAATTTCCCGTTTGTATGGGAGGTGATTCCAGGACTTCCCTCAAGGATTGGGAAACCATACTTCCTGCTGCAGCAAGTAATTCTTTGGAACATGACTCTTGGGGTACTAGCAGGGAAAGAACTATATCTTGAGTCAGTTTCTGGTCATCCTCCAGGCACAGGTGTGACATGAAGTTGCCATTTACAAATGTGTTGAGCTACATCTGACACACCTGTTAATGGTTTGACAAATTCATACATACTGGGTGGTGGTGGTACACACCTTTAATCCCAGCACTTGGGAGGTAGAGTTCTGGGGCAGTCTGGTCTACAGAGCAAATCCCAGGATAGCCAGGCTAAAAGGAAATTCTGTCCCTAAGTTAAACAAAACAAACAACAAAAAGCATATAATTAACTTCATACCTGGAACTTCACAGAAGAAGCAGCAAGATGTAGGCAAGAGAAGGGCAGGTGATGGAGTCTATACCTGGATCCTATCAGAATCCCAGCCCTTTCTTTACTTTGGCTTCTGTGGCTGGGTGATAACCTCAATGAGATGGTGTCCACTAATACACCCTACAGAGAGAACTGTCATGCACTAAGGGCACCAACATGCATGCTTGTGCCTGGCTACAATGAGATTGCATGCAAATAAAAGTTCAGGTCATGGGCAGAACCCGAAAACAAATCCACATGCTCATAGATCAGACGCCTTCCCTTCACCTTTGAGCTAGCTTCCCCTTGAGCATTGGGAGTGTTCTTGCTTTGGGCATTATCCTGTGTTCCCCAGGGAGGAAGCCAGCACCTGCCAATGAAACTAGGCTTTCACCCCAGTTCACTTTCTCATGAACATGGGTTGTCCAGGAGTGATGAGGACCAGGGCACACTTCACAGGTAAGCAGATGCATTGCGCATGCAGTTTTGGGTTCTTTTTGGCCACAAGATCTGTTCATTTAGCCAACATCTACTGAGTATATACTGTATTCTTGGCATGACCTAAGTGGGCATATGATGAGTAGGAGACGGGAATCCACATTCAGTACATGTGTGCCTGTGTGTGTGTGTGTGTGTGTGTGTGTGTGTGTGTGTGTGTGTGTGTGTGTGTGTGACAGCAGATAAGGAGACACACAAGAAAATGTCAGTAAGTGATGCATGGTTGTGTAGAAGGTAAGGCTGAGTGAAGGGCAGTGATTGAAAGCTTGGGAAGGGTGGGAATGGCAGAGGCTGACTCACAAGAAATTGACCATTGTTTGTATGGGAGAGATTTCCAGAGTGAGGGCAGCTAGTATCAAGGCTCTAGAGTGGGAATGAGCTGAGAACGGTAGAAGAAGGCCAGGAGAACTGCAATGAGAAAGGAGGGAGATGGTGGGGGGCCTGGAAAGGGAGGTGTGGGAGGGCACTCCCAGTGCTCTGAAGCCACAGATACTTAGAGTTGCACATTCTCAGGCCCAAGACTGTTCTAGAAACAATGTGTAGTCCTCTATGTTTATTGCTCCCAAGTCCTGGCTTTCTGGAAATTCCTGGAATGATAGCCTCCCCCAGCTTCCCACCCTGGCTGCTTCATTTCACTCAGCTCTTCTAGTAGAACAGCACAGCAAAAGTCTTGTCAAGGGCTGGGGGTGTAGAATGCTTGCCTAGCATGCAGGAAGCCTTGGGGTCTGTCTCCAGCACAGCATAAAACTGGATGTGGTGGCTCATACCTGTGATCCCAGAACTGGGGAGGTAGAGGCAGAAAGATCAGCAGTTCAAGACTGTCCTCAGCTACACAGACAGCTTAAGGCCATCCTGGGCCACAGGAGACCTTATTTAAAAAAAAAAAAGGACCTGTCAACCACTATTGCTACCCATTTACTTTCTCATCTTATTCTACAGAGAAGGAACTGGGTGTTTCTTTGGGGATTTCAGTGGCTCATCAGAACTAACCTTAGTGACTTCTGACAACTGAGGATCTAGGGACCCTAGGGAAGGACTCTGACAGCTTCTGCTTATGTCTGGAGTCCCCATAGCCACCATGGCCACTATTTCTGTCAACCCCATTATCTAGAAAGTCCTGGTTGCAGGTCCAGGATGATAGATGGCCAAAGACAGTTGGGCAAGAAACCTCAAGGCTAGGTGTTATTTCCTCTGTGCAACCAGAACTCTCTTTGCTGTTCCATCTAAGGCTTTTGTCACAGCCCAACTTGGTGCAGACCCAGCAAGATCACCCACTAGGCTGGCAGCTGAACAGCAGGGGCCTTCTTTTATTCTTGTCATAATTTCTGTCCCAATACTGAGATACTTGCTATGGATTAGACATGAAGTATTCCCCACAAAAGCTAAAGTGCTGAAGGTCTCCAGATGTGCTGTTAAGAAGTAACTAGGTCTTGATGGCCTTACCTTCATCAATAGATCAATGCACTGATGGGTTCACAGTTGAATACGCTATAAGAAGGTGGGGACTAGTTAGAGCAAGGAAGTAGGTTTCTGGGATGGGGTGACTTTGGGTACATCTTATCCCTGTCTCCTACCCTTGACATCATAAGGTAAGCAGTGTTATTCCACCATGTTTCTGTCTTGTCATGGTCTTAAAAGCAATAGAAGCAGCTGACTGTGGACAGCAATCAGCAAGACCGTGGACTAAGTTAAATGTTTTCTCCCTTTACATTAATATTCTTGTGTATTTTGTTGTTGTATTTAAAATAGTGCTAAAAAACTATAGCTGACAAGAAGACATTCAAAACATGGGACACTTGCTGCAGCTCTTCCTGTGGTGTGTGGGTGCTCATGACACTGCACAGGAGGTGGAGATGGGCAATCAGACACCACTGTTCATCTACAACAGTCAATACGAAAGATTGCATCATCTTATGATGGGTGCAGTCAACTAGTATGACCCCCCTTCCTTAAAAGAATAACTCACTTTTATGTAAACAATTCTGTCAGCAGAGGTCAGTTCTAGGGGAATAAATCTCAACTGTCATCGCTAAGTATCACTGAGTGTGAAAAACAGAAAGATAAAGACATGTTCATAGATTGCTGTATCAGAACTGTTGATGGGACCTAGATAAGGAAGTGTGTGTGTGTGTGTGTGTGTGTGTGTGTGTGTGTGTGTGTGTGTGTTGTTTTGTAGCTCAAAAGTAGGACCTTGGGCATGCTAGATATGTGATCTATCACTGAGGCCCTTGCCTGGCCCAGGAATATGGATTGAGCATATTCCCCTGGGGGAATCCTTTCTATTAAAGTTTGAGAACTACTGTTTGATACAATGCAGTTATAAGCCCTTGTCTTTTGTTACTGTTCTGTAATGTTTGTGGCTTCAGAACAAGCAAACCCATCCACACATTGCTTTTGTCAGAGAAAAGCAGTAAGGATGTAAAAGTATGGGGGAAACCGCATCTTCCAGGCAGCTGTCCTGAGAGCCAGTTTGGAATCCTGTATGGGCCATGTGTGTTCGTCTTGAATATGGGCAAACAGAGGCCCTTAAGGAAATGAATCTGGCAGGAGATTGTTGCAGAAATCTTTGGTTCAAGGTGGAGTCACTGCCTCTCTGGCCCTGCTTTTCCTCTCCTCTGAAACAAAGTGCTTTAGAAGTTGGTGGGCAGAGTTCTCACTCAGCCTCACAGTAGGAAGACTGAAGGAGACTGCCACACTTACCCCTGTCTCCTGGAAGTATGAGAGGAAAGGGTACTGATGACCAGGAAGACAGCCAGCTGGGGCGTTTCTTGCTGTAGTGCAGGAAAAACCTCCACAATCAGCTTTTCTTTTATTTCAGCTTAGTTTCCTTCAGCTCAGTAGCACCAAAGGCAATTCAGATGGGCCCACAAACAACAGAGAAATTTCCATAGCAACTCAAAACTTCTTCCTTGACCCTGTGTTTTGGACTCTCAATCTCCAAACAAGCCCACAAAATAGTTCTAGGATCAAACTGGCCACCTCTCGACGCTCCAAACATAGTCTGCTGAAAGGAATTGGGGGCAGGGGAAGAAGCTTGCTGGCAGTAGAGCTTGCCATGGGGCTCACAGAGAGATTGTAAATTGGTGAAGAGTTGCCTTTCCAAGTTTGAACTGGGAAACATTTACTCCGGGGAAGGGATTTCAAGCGTGAAGACAGGAAGTGGGGCAGGGCAGCAAGAACCAAGAGTTCTTTTTCCAAAAGCTGGCTCTGAACCCGTTGCCGTTGGCATAAGGAATTTGGTCTCTAAGAGTGATCTTACCCTTATTTTATTTTCCTTGCAATGAAACAAACCAGGATATATTCTAATGTTCCCTTCCCTGGCCCCCCCACTAGCCTCCCATGTGTATGCATGTGTGATGGACAGATCATAGTAAGCCATAAAATTTCAGGAAGTCCATGGTTGCAGGCCTGGGGCTGGAGGTTGGGGGAAAGCAGCACTCCTAGAAGAATTTAATTCAGATAACCAACAGATTAAAAAAATTAGTATAAGCACATCCATTTTATCTTTGGAGCTACTTGCAATAAACTCTTCTTTGTTGTTTATTTGAGGTTCAAATTGCACCAGGATTCAGTTTTTTAAATGTAGTGTTCCCTGGTAATAGTAGTGGACTAAAGGTTTTTCTGCCCCCTGGTGGCTAACAAGGAGCACAGACACTTGGGGAGGTACCCTGTTATCCCGACTGGAGACAGAAGCCCTCCTCCCCAGGGAAGAAGTAGTACATGCCAGGTAGACTTTTATGGGAGGACAATAGCTTCCCAGGTATGACTGAGCGTGAGTTATATCACAGAATGAGTTCTTCCAGTCAGGGGTTATGAATATCTGTGTTAACCCAGGCACCAGCCC